GGGGGTGGGAGTGGGGGTGGGGAAGAATGAAGGAACTTTGGATTGTGAAGCGGGGAGTGAGGGGAGGCGAGGGTGTATGGGGATGGGAAGGACAATGGAATGAGATGGACATTATTACCATATATACGAGTATAATTACACTACCGGGTGACTCTGCACCAAGTTCAGCCAGAGGAATAAGAAGTTGTGCTCCATTTATGTACAATGTATCAAAATGCATTCTATTATCATGTATAACTAATTAAAACAAATTTAAAAAATAAAAATTAAAAATACGTATATGCATTTTCAGAATGGAAAAGGCAGCAATTCGAAAATTTTGGACAAAATTTTAAATGCACAGACTCTCAGAAATAGCAATCTCACTTGCAGGAATGGCTTTTGCAGCTACACATGCATATAGACATGTAGGGAAGGTGCTCACTGCAATACTGTTTATAGCAGCAAGGCTGGGGACAACCTAAAGGTCCCAGAGTAAAGGAACCAACAGGTAAGCAGTAGTGTACTATCAACGAAAGGCACATGCTTATGAAAAAAGGTCATGGACCTGGGTGTGCCCACAGAGGAATAAGCTGCAATGGAGACACATGTTGGTGGAAAACGCAAGATACAGAGCAGCAGGTAGAGGAGATGCTGCCAGTTGGGTAATAAAAAGGGATTCTATTGACATAGTTGCCCATGTATAAAAAAAAAATTTCTGGAAAGAAATATCAAATCTAGTGACAGTGACTACACAGGCATCTGGGTGGGAAAGACACTAATTTTTTTTTATCAGGTAGTTTATTTTTAAAGTTTGAAATTTATGTTGGGGAACAGGTAATTGGTAGAGGACTTACCCAGCCTGTGCAAGGTCCTGGAATTCAATCCCCATCACCAAAAACAAATAGTTTGAATTTCCAATATATATATATATATTTATTTGCAATAAAAATCTGACTTCTACATATAAAAAACAACTCTAGCAAAATGTACCCAGAAATATCTCCCTCTAGATCTCTGGTATCAGACTCCTAGTGAGCAGGACTCAGGCATCCAGATTTTTTTTTTAAATATTTTTTTAAATTGTTGATAGACGTTTATTTTATTTACTTATATGTGATGCCGAGAATCAAACCCAGTGCCTCACACATGCCAGGCAAGTGTGCTACTGCTGAGCCCCAGCCCCAAGGCATTTAGATTTTTAAGTGTCCTCTGAGAGTATACTGGGCAGCCCAAACACTGCAGGGCTTGAGCAGGGATGTCAAGGAAAATTCTAAAGATAAACATGGCCTTGAGGACAGAAGGATCTGAAGGTGGCTTTTTTTTTTTTTTTTTAAAGAGGGGGGGGAGGGAGAGAGAGAATTTTTTAAATATTTATTTATTTATTTTTAGTTTTCGGCGGACACAGCATCTTTGTTTGTATGTGGTGCTGAGGATCGAACCTGGGCCGCGCGCATGCCAGGTAAGCACGCTACCGCTTGAGCCACATTCCCAGTCCTTGAAGGTGGCTTTGAATGCTGAACATGTACAGTTGACATGAAAGGGGTCCTACCAGGAGGGACTGGGAAAATGAAGTCAGGCTGGTAGGAAAGGGGAAGGAATATCTCTACTACAGGATCCTGGTTGGTCCCTTTACTCCTAGATTTGCTTCCATTCCTGAGAAGGGAGGGAGCTGAGCCAGAGTCCTTTCCAGACTCGCTATCTGAGGACCCACCTTTATTTCATCTCATTTAATATTAAAGGAGACAGGGAAGGTCCCCAGCTCAGCACATGGCCGTAGGGCTCCACATCTGTGCAGACTGTAATAAAATATTTCAAGGCTGCAGAAAAGTCAGGCAAGGATCTTAAGCAAAGGAGCCTTTGGGTGATGTCCCACAGGGAAAAGGAGCAGATGGCTTTCTGCTGAGATGCCCTTCATCACCTTCTTGTCAATAATTAAGTCGTTACTGAAAACCTCTTTTGTTACTTTTGAAGTTCAGTTTTTAGAAATGTACTTCAGCTTTCTTTGCCATCATACTCCAGGCTGAGGGTTCACAGTCTAAATCCACAAACCCAAGCCAAAGGAGTGTGCA